CCTAGTGGAGGATGCTCTTTTTCTGGTTGGATTATCAAAATAAGTGGTCCTCCAACTTGTCAATCATTCTGGGGATATGTTTATGTAAATAGCTTTATTTGACTGTATATATCTGTTTTAAGAAAGGGGCAAATGTTATATTTTATGCCACCCTGCGCCACAGAGCTTACAGCCACTCACATGGGGCGTCACTGTGTTGTCTCAACAACAATCGCATTCTTATTCCATTAGAAGGAAGAAGCAGCTCCATTCTTGTTTATACCCCCCACCTTTAATAAAGGCACCTTCCACAGCTGCAAGTGGGACTTAATTGCTTGTGAGATTTGATTGTTAGAGGTTAGCACAGGCGTAACTTTCTGAAGGACTAGTGGGGATCTAGTCTGGCATCTCGGTCTAACATAATCGGATCTGTTGCTTTAATAATCTGATTTGCAGTCGCATTTCAGTGCTTAGAGAGTAGCTACATGGAGGAGGAGCAGCACTCAGTGAATATTAACCAGCAGCTACTTTGATGTTTAAGTAAAAGTTAGGAGACGGGTTGTTTAAAATAATAAGAGATCATACCACTGAAAAATCTTTTCATAAGACATGCACAGTTCTTTCAGCTAAAATGGCAACAGAGGTGCATCTTTCTTCTTTTTTTGTTTTTGTTTATGAACTTTATTTAAACAAAGTAAGTACAAACAAGTAAAGCAATAGCAACAGTACAATTCTGTTGAAGACATAGAGATAGATTTCAAAATGGAAATACAAAGTAACATTGATAAGGAAAAAAAAAGAATAAGTGAATGACAATGAAACAATAATTAACATGGCAACAAGGGGATTGCTATGTTAGGATTGATGTACATCAGTGGGCAATGCTATTAGTATTTCAGTCAGGTATTTGTATGATTTGATACATTTAAGAGATTTCGAATATTGCATCCTTCTTTTTACCCGATTATAAGGACAGGTCTGGTGTATCCAGCGTAGCCTTGGATATCCCATGATTCATTGCAACTTTAAGCAAGCGTGCTTCTCCATGCTTAGAGGAAAACAGTACTTGCCGCCAAACAGTGGTGAATATTGGAAGTGCAGTTTGATATAAAAAATATTATGTAAATGGTTCTGTCTGAAATAAATGAAAATTGTTTTTAGAATGGTTATTTAGGAAGATATGTGGTGTATAAGTTCTGGTTTATTGAAAAATTATTATCTGTCACTGTGTAAATGGGTCTGGCTCTCATCTAAGGGCAGATTCTAATATATTCACAGGGTGGGTACTATAAATCTGATACGGTACGGCTGTTTTGGCTCCTCAAATATGTTATTAAGACCCCGAACAGCAGTGTGAAGGGATGGACAGTTATTGTCACTGGAATGATTTAAATAATAAAATGCCTAATTCTCATCCCAGAAATAAATTATATTAAAAACATTGATCAAGTTCATTGATTTAGTTCAAGATTGCCTCAGTAATATTCCAGTTCCTAAACTAAAAATACATTTATTGAAGGAATCAATGTAATAGACAAAAAATGCAAAAACATATTTTTGAGAAAAGTGTCAACAAATATCTTCCTAATCCAATTAAAATACTTTTCCTATTAGAGAATCCTCCAAAAATGATATCCGTGCATTGAGAATCAAATATCTTAAATTTGTTATTCCACCTAAATATAAAAGATTAATTTCAACATTCTAAATGACAATTATCCTTCCAACCAATGCAAATACTTCAAATTTAAATTCACCATAGACAAATGTCCTCCATGTGAGCAAGAAGAGGAATGAACTGAACAATTTTTGTTGTTGTTGTAAAACCCAACATTTTTGTCCTCAGTTCATAACTGGCCACTCTCTAAATCCTTAAACATTAATTTTCTCAAGGAAAGATAAAGACATTTAAAAATGAAATAAATATACTTTAAAGAAAATGTATTCCACCAATGCTAAAAGATTGTATGCTTTCTGTCCAAATGTCATTCTTAATTACCCCTTACATCTTATGTTCTTTATCTTTTTCAGTATAGTGATTGTTCCTTGTCAATGTTTAGCTTCCCTTCTCTTCTCTTTTTATAATTTTTTATTGCTATTTTGCACAGTGTGGTTAACTAAATATTTTTGTTGTTGAATATAAGAGATTTTGTGGATATATCTTTTATACTGATATAAAAAACATATTTCAGCGCAGATACGGGGAATGTGGGATTTAGGGGTCAGAGTCAACAAAAAAATAAAAAAAAACATGTTAGAACCAATCAGATAACTACACTTGTAATCTGGGTGGAACCAACACCCGCTGAAGGTTAAAGCTAATTGGCTGCAGCGTCTCTGCCCTTACATGTGATCAGAGCTCAAACCTGTTTCTGTTTTCAGGAAATGAAACTCACACAGTTGCTGTGACTGAGAGGAGAAATGGAGCAGAATCAGCTGGACCAAGAAACCTTCTCCTGTTCAATCTGTCTGGATTTACTAAAGGATCCAGTGGCTATTCCCTGTGGACACAGCTACTGTATGAACTGCATTAATGCACACTGGGATGAAGAGGATCAGAAAGGAAACCACAGCTGCCCTCAGTGCAGAGAGATCTTCACACAGAGGCCTAATTTGAAAAGGAACACC